TAAGTTAAGTTACGTTAGTTAGTTAGTTAGTAGTATAGTATATATATATATATATATATATATATAATATATATATATATATATATATATATATATATATAACTAGAATCACCTGTGTAAGTGTGTAGTGTGTATATCTGCACGCGTGTTTATCCCGTACGCTTGTGATCAGATCCTTACTGACCGTTTGTGTTTTTTGAGTGTGTTAGTTCTGTTGACTAGTATCCTACCCTCCCCCCCCTGCACGCGTCCTTAATATCCCTCATGCTACATACGGGATATACCAGGTGCACTCCCCTCGCTTCCTGTGCGTTGTACGCTCTCCCGTGCATCAGAGCATACTTACTTATACTGTCATACATTAGTATAAACGTTTATCCTTATCGCAACCCTGAAGCTTTGTCGGGCACGTACCAATGCTAATCAATGGTACTCCTTTTGTTATGACAGTGGACTTTATACGGAGCTGAAGAGTGAGCTCTCGCGCCTTCAGTCAGGCTCAGGTGCTTCGCCTGAGGCGGGTGTGGTTGCCTTGGCAACGGCGGTGCAGCTACAAAATCTATGGCAGAAATCCCTCGGTAGCGATGACGTACTCTGCACGGCCTGAGCGGATTATGAGGAGAATCCGTTCGTAGATAAGGACACAATCTAGTGCCTATGTGAAACGCTATATAAACGTATATGACTGATCCCTTCGGAAGTACCCGCCTTGCCTTGCTTTGCCTTGCCTTGCCTTGTGGTGCTTATCTGCACCATTTGAGTGTTTCTTGAAAGTGTTTGCCTCGTGTGTTTAGTTCGACATGCACCCCTGCGACACCGGTCCAAAATAAAATACGACGGGTCCATGATATAGTCCCGAACTTCTCAATCAGAGTACATTCAGGTTGAAATGTTGATGGCTGTGGAGTGGTAGGACTGGTAGCGCGGAGGTGACGCATATTCTATTTATTCACTATAACAACAGTTATTTAAAAGTACTTCAAAACTTTCGGCCTGATTCCCATTTAGTATGCGGTATGCAGTAAGCAGTATGCGGATTGTGCTCGGACTAATACTCGAGGTCATTTTGTAAATCCTAAAAGCATATGTGCATGAAAATACTAACAAGTGTTGTATGTACATAACTCGTGTTGCATAAACATAACTAGTGTTGTATATACATAACTAGCGTTGTATATACATAACTAGTGTTGTATATACGTAACTAGCGTCGTATATACATAACTACCGTTGTATTTATATAACTAGCGTTGTATATCCATAACTAGCGTTGTATATACAAAACCAGAGTTGTATATACATAGCTAGCGTTGTATATACATAACTAGCGTTATATATAAATATCTAGCGTTGTATATACATAACTAACGTTTTATATACATAACTAGTGTTGTGTATACATAACTAGCGTTGTATATATATAACTAGCGTTGTATATACATAACTAGCGTTGTATATACATAACCAGCGTTGTATATACATAACTAGCGTTGTATATACATAACTAGCGTTGTATATACATGACTAGCGTTATATATACATAACTAGCGTTATATATACACAACTAGCGTTCTATATACATAACTAGCGTTCTATATACATAACTAGTGTTGTATGTACATAACTATCGTTGTATATACAAATCTAGCGTTGTATATACATAACTAGCGTTGTATATACATAACTAGCATTGTATATACATAGCTGGTGTTGTATATACATAACTAGCGTTATATATACATATTTAGCGTTGTATATACATACCTACCGTTGTATATACATAACTAGCGTTGTACACACACCACTAGCGTTGTATATACATATTTAGCGTTGTATATACATAACTAGCGTTGTATTTACTTCACTAGCGTTGCTGCGCACATATGTCGCCAACGCTAGAATCCCACGAAAGTCAACCAACCATGTGGTACACCACCAATAAATTATAAGCTAGGAATGTGTTTAGAAGTGCATGACCATGATACCTCGTTAATACTTCCGATATGTGCGGACACTCGTAAGTAACGAATGGCATCCGTGTATCTATTTGGTTAGTCAGAGTTAGTTACGCATAGGTAGAGCGCGGGCCAATCTTCAAAGCCAAGAAGTGAACATGATCGTGGTATGGTTACTTTGACTGACTTTTATTTATATTGGATTGGATTGGGTGCGTCTCACCTGTCATACCTGACTGTTACTTATATACTGCTCGTGTTGATACCAGCACCTGCATTTACTTGCTGGGGGGTGGGGACAATCTTCCCAGCCTAGAAGTGAACATGACCGTGGTATGGTTACTTTGACTGGCTTTTATTTATATTGGATTGGGTGCGTCTCACCTGTCATACCTGACTGATACTTATATACTACTCGTGTTTTAGGGTTGATACCAGCACCTGCATTTACTTGCTGGGGGGTGGGGCCACATAGTTGGTGAGCTCAGCACCGTTCTTACCCTCGTTGAACATCTCATTCACATTAGATAGCGTCACCCGCGCAATAGCCTCCAGCGCGTCAATCGTCAAGAACGCCTGGTGTGACGTGATCAGCACGTTGGTGTTAGACACCAGGTTAGCCAGGCGGTCATCCTGGATCACACGCCCGCTCCAATTCTCAAAGAAGTATCCCTGCTCTCCCTCGTACACATCCAGCCCAGCCCCACCCACTTGTCCGTTCTTAAGACCGTCTAGAAGCGCGTCTGTGTCAATCAGACCTCCACGCGCACAGTTGATGATGGTTACACCCTTCTTCATCTTGGCGATGGTTTCGGCGTTGATCATGTGGTGGGTGGAAGGCAGCAGAGGTGAGTGGATGGAGATCACATCTGAGCAGGCCAGGACTTCGTCTAGAGACATATATGTAACCTCGGGCTTAGCCTCGTATGTCTTGTTGATGTAGATGTCGTATGCCGCAATCTTCATGCCGTATCCGATCATGATGTCGATTAGGCACTGACCAATCTTTCCGGTTCCGATTACTGCGTGGAGGAGAGTACGGAGAGAAATGATCAACATGTGTGTACTTATTAAAGCGCTAGAGACATAAAGGGATGAGCGAGAAAACCCCAATCGAAGCACAGCTCACAGACCCGCATAAGCACTACTTGAATACGCCCGCACAATACCATACACATATATCACACTGATACTTACCACCACAGGTTCGGCCGTGGAGATCATAGCCCACAAGTCCGCCCAGTGAGAAGTCACCTTCACGAATGCGATTGTAAGCCTTATGCAGCTTTCTGTTAAGCGTCTGGCATAGAGCCACCGCGTGCTCCGCTACAGCGTAAGGCGAGTAAGCGGGCACACGCACCACTGGGATGCCCATAGCGTCAGCAACCTTCAAGTCAACACGGTCGAAGCCGGCGCATCGATTGGCAACCATCTTCACTCCATTGCGGGAAAGCGCACGAACGGTCTTATCAGACACATCATCGTTTACAAACACTACAACGACATCGTAGCCAGCAGCCAGCGCCGCGGTGTCGGGACCCAGACGGGTCTCAAAGTATGTGATTTCAAAGTTGTACTTTTCGTTCTCCTTGTCAAAGGTCTCGCGATCGTATGACTTGGCATCGAACAGAGCGATGCGTGTGGCACCACTCTCAGCGTCACTACCCATCTGACGTCCCTTACGGTCGCGTCTGGCAATGTTCTGCATGTATCCAAGCATAGCTAGAGAGACACTGACGTCCTCCTGTAATAGCTTCTTGAAGTCAGTATCTCCAAGCGAGTAGTTGACAGCGGGTTCGCTGGCTGTGACGGTGGCCGAGTGAGGGGTGCCGCAGAATAGCGAACCCAATCCGATGAAATCACCTGCGGTCAGATGAAGGGGGAATGAATTTAAATGTTGAGTCGACAATAATACTACAAGTGTTTGCTGCTTCAGAACTACAGGTATTGTACCAAGTGTGGGGTTGGATCGTTCCCTAAGTTTAGCTAGAGTTTAATTTTCCCCACTGTAACTATAAGTTATCTTGCGTGCTTTGTTACGCTACTTAACTTAATGAACGATTAGAACCACTCCGCAACGACAGACCTTCAACTTACAAAACCTAACACCAAAGTACTATCCAGACTCAAGAGTATACCTCGCTACTTGTATCGCTAGATGTAAATGATTTATATATAGAATGTATCACCCAAAAGTAGCATTTGATGGCTTCATATATAGGTTTAAAGCCCCCAGACGAACTCACAATGGTTCGTTAACATGCATATCAGACATATGCACACATGTGACACTTTCCTTATAAATGCGAGGAGCTAATGCGATATCATTGCAACAAGCACACGCAATGTATACAACATCACAACGAACTTACCAGTCTTTAGCACATCGACTTGGACCTCTTCGCCTGCAGATCCGGACATAGTGACGGAAAATTTTCCGGTTGAGATGATGGACAGACGTCCGGTCTGGTCACCTTGCTGCACAACTACATCTCCTTCACTGAACTTATCTTCACGCAGGAGATCTACAATCTTGTTCTTGGCATCCTCAGAACAATCCGAGAAAACGGATCGGTTTACGGCTTCACTCTTAGAAACCATATTGGTATCGTTATATCTGTTTGTTGTGTTATACAAATCTGACTCTGGCACGGGGTGTAAATTCAGGTTAAGTACCATTTCATAATCGCTATGGTGCTCCTTTTACCATACAATATCCACACCGCCAAATAAATAAATAAATTTGAATTTCATACAACTTCAACTCACTATAAAGTATACCGGGACTATTTTCCGTGTATTTATTTGAGACGTGTCGTAAAATGGTCCGTCGATTTCGAACGACTTGGTAAAATACTAAATTGAATTCTGGAAAAATTACCATATTTGGTGTCTATGATCTGGAATGCCGATAACTTTTTTTGTAGCTCCACGAATCAGTATTCTTTTATCAAAGATTTAGACCAATGAGTATATTTCATCACATAGGAAATATTGTACTTCGTGTTCATTTGCAGGGGACTTTCAATTACGGAAGAACACGAACCTTCTGATAATTAAAAATAGGAGATATCACAATCAACAACCCAAAGACAAAGTCCCAGTCCAGCAAACTTACAGCGAAGTGCAAACCCGGATGAAACCCTTAGTCTCCCTGGGACCCTGTCTCATACTCTCTTTGTCTACTCTTGCGTGCGCACTGAGTTGAGTTGTATTTTTAATACTATTTATTTATTTACTGTTGTTGTTGTCGTTGTCGTTGTTGTTGTTGTAATTAAAGTTTAAACCCTAAACCTACTCCCACACCTTGATTAAAACCCTACTCTCGCTCCTGTTCGATTAAAAACTGTATTCGGTTATCATTAGATTCAACTTCTCTCACATTCGCTCAACCACACTAATTAAAAAAATAGTTTTGAAATTATTTAGAAACTATGATATAACTTTTATAACCATATCACTGAAGCAAAAAAAAAGATGCTTTTACAAATTATCTCATGAGGAGACAATTGTAGCAATTCTGTTCAGTTCGAAGTACAATCACTTGCTCAGTAGAGAATCGAATAGGTGGAGGAAATGTTTTCTGGTATGATTAACTGAATCAACCTGTAAAATAACGCCAAAACATATACAATGATGGCATCCTTAAGGTCAGTTACTTGAAAAAAAATCTATAACAAGCTGTTCTTGTCATTGCGGCGACAACACCACCCCCAGACCATACATATAAAAAAGATTTGAACTTTAAGCGTTGTACTCAATCTTCTCGTGCCGAGAAGTATATAGCGCATAAGCTGCGCGTATGCGCATTCGGCATTTGTTATACTGTGCGGTAAGTGTGTAATTCATATGTACAACTGAGAAACTTAACTATGAACTTGTACATACTTAGCTCGCGTCGCAAGAAAGTTCTTCGATTTGTATTATGCAAGTGACATATTTTGGTGCCTTACGTTTCTTGGGACTGATGTGTCAGTAGACGGTGTCGATGCCGTCTCATTTCGCAACGTTCAATCTGGTCAACGACTATAAGATTTATATCTAATCAGCGATTGTGGTCGAATATAAAACGCTCAGGTACAGGGGTTATACTGAAACTTAGTGTTGAGAAAGCGCTGAATGCCAAAAAACAAAAACAAAACAAGGCCAATTTTTTTTTATAAATGGCCCAAAGCCAAAGCCGAGTGCATCAGCAGTTCAGCACATTGAGGCTTGAGCGCCTGGTCGCAAGGCGCAAGCCCGCGCAAGTTTTCCGCCAAACTTTTCTAAGTCAATCGACAATACTCCACAGTCAAAACTCCAGAGTCCAGACTGAAGAGTGAGTTAGTCCTCGGTAATGCAGATAATAATAGACATCTTTCTATTAGTGTATAAACCCGCGCTTTAGATAATAATAAAATATTATTCGTCTAAAGAAAGGCATTAGCAATATAGTGAGTGCATTTGTTGCAATCTCTACGTTATGTATTGGTTTTTCATAGGTACATCCCAGAGTCTGGTCTGAAATTCTGGATTGACTTGCTAGTCTCGTGATTGTCAAATGACAGTCAAAGCTGGACAGAGCCTCACGGAGATGATGCGCATATAGAACGCACAGACTTTTACATGTCTACCTCATAACCTCGCTGCCACGAAGAACAATTTAAGTATATATATGTACTCTCGAAGCCGATTAATTGCCAGAATGATGAGCTCAAGCGCTACTAAAAGGACACACATTGACGGCGTCATAAGTACTACAATGTCTACCATGCAAGTTAAAAAACTGTCAGACGATGCCACTATCCCTGTAAAGGGTTCTGCGTTGGCTGCGGGATTTGACCTGTTTAGGTATGTCTTTATATGCTGTAGATATTATTTTGAAATAAGAGTATCAGTAGTTTTGTCAAATGTACACTATCCATGAACACAAAACCCAAAAACTTCATTTTCTTTAAGCCGATAACTCAAATGTAAAAGCATATTTGTGTCAACGGTTCAATTGCTGACCT